AGTGGTTAGAGAGGTTGAAGTGTTCTCCCACTGGTTTTTGAATGTTATGATTCCTGATGTCAGATTTATGTCCATTTATTCTTTTGTGTAGAGATTGTCCGGTTTGGCCAATGTATATGGCAGAGGGGCATTGCTGGCACATGATGGCATATATCACGTTGGTAGATGTGCAGGTGAACGAGCCCCTGATGGTGTGGCTGATGTGATTAGGTCCTATGATGGTGTCACTTGAATAGATATGTGGACAGAGTTGGCATCGGGCTTTGTTGTTCCTGGGTTAGTGTTTATGTTGTATGGTGTGCGGTTGCTGGTGAGTATTTTCTTCAGGTTGGGAGGCTGTCTGTAAGCAAGGACTGGCTTGTCTCCCAAGATCTGTGAGAGTGAGGGATCATCTTTCAGGATAGGTTGTAGATCTCTGATGATGCGCTGGAGAGGTTTTAGTTGGGGGCTGAAGGTGACGGCTAGTGGCGTTCTGTTATTTTCTTTGTTGGGCCTGTCCTCTAGTAGGTGACTCCTGGTACTCTTCTGGCTCTGTCAATCTGTTTTTTCACTTCAGCAAGTGGGTATTGTAGTTTTTAGAATGCTTGATAGAGATCTTGTAGGTGTTTATCTCTGTTTGCGGGATTGGAGCAAATAGGTTGTATCTTAGAGCTTGGCTGTAGACAATGGATTGTGTGGTGTGTCCTGAATGGAAGCTGGAGGCATGTAGGTAACTATAGCGGTCAGTAGGTTTCTGGCATAAGGTGGTGTTTATGTGACCATCGCTTATTAGCACAGTAGTGTCTAGGAAATGGACTGCTTGTGTGGATTGGTCTAGGCTGAGGTTGATGGTGGGATGGAAATTTTTAAAATCATGGTGGAATTCCCCGAGGGCTTCTTTTCCATGGGTCCAGATGATGAAGATGTCATCAATGTAGCGCAAGTAGAGTAGGGGTGTTAGGGGACGAGAGCTAAGGAAGTGTTGTTCTAAGTCATCCATAAAAATATTGGCATACTGTGGGGCCATGCAGGTACCCATAGCAGTGCTGCTGACTTGAAGGTATATATTGTCCCCAAATGTGAAATAGTTGTGGGTGAGGACAAAGTCACAAAGTTCAGCCACCAGGTTTGCCATGATATTATCGGGGATACTATCCCTGTGGCTTGTAGTCCATCTTTGTGTGGAATGTTGGTGTAGAGGGCTTCTACATCCATAGTGGCCAGGATGGTGTTTTCTGGAAGATCACCAATGGATTGTAGTTTCCTCAGGAAGCCAGTGGTGTCTCGAAGATAGCTGGGAGTGCTGGTAGCGTGGGGCCTGAAGAGAGAGTCTACATAGCCAGACAATCCTACTGTTAGGATGCCAATGCTTGAGATGATGGGGTGTCCAGGATATCCAGATTTATGGATCTTGGGTAGCAAATAGAATACACTTGGTCGGGGTTCTAGGCATGTGTCTGTACAGATCTGTTCCTGTGCTTTCTCCGGGAGTTTCTTGAGCAGATGTAGTTTCTTTTGGTAATCCTCAGTGGGATCAGAGGATAATGGCCTGTAGAATGTGGAGTTAGAGAGCTGCCTAGCTGCCTCTTGTTCATATTCAAACTTGACAGAGCCAGAAGAGTACCCAAAAGTCACCTACTACAGGACAGGCCCAACAAAGAAAATAACAGAACGCCACTAGCCGTCACCTTCAACCCCCAACTAAAACCTCTCCAGCGCATCATCAAAGATCTACAACCTATCCTGAAAGATGATCCCTCACTCTCACAGATCTTGGGAGACAAGCCAGTCCTTGCTTACAGACAGCCTCCCAACCTGAAGCAAATACTCACCAGCAACCGCACACCATACAACATAAACACTAACCCAGGAACCTATCCTTGCAACAAAAGCCCGATGCCAACTCTGTCCACATATCTATTCAAGTGACACCATCATAGGACCTAACCACATCAGCCACGCCATCAGGGGCTCGTTCACCTGCACATCTACCAACGTGATATATGTCATCATGTGCCAGCACTGCCCCTCTGCCATATACATTGGCCAAACCGGACAATCTCTACACAAAAGAATAAATGGACACAAATCTGACATCAGGAATCATAACATTCAAAAACCAGTGGGAGAACACTTCAACCGCTCTAACCACTCAGTGACAGACTTGAAGGTGGCAATTTTGCAACAAAAAATTTCAAAAACAGACTCCAAAGAGAGACTGCTGAACTTGAATTAATATGCAAATTAGATACAATTAACTTAGGTTTAAACAGAGACTGGGAATGGTTGGGTCATTACACTAATTGAATCTATTTCCCCATGTTAAGTATCCTCACACCTTCTATGGGTCATCTCGATTATCACTTCAAAGGTTTTTTTTCTCCTGCTGATGATAGCTCATCTCAATTGATTGGCTTCTTACAGTTAGTATGGCTACTTCCACCCTTTCATGTTCTCTGTATGTATAAATATCTTCTGTGTGTTCCATTCTATGCATCCGATGAAGTGGGCTGGAGCCCACGAAAGCTTATGCTCAAATAAATTTGTTAGTCCCTAAGGTGCCACAAGTACTCTTGGTCTCATCTCTGCTGACTCTTGGTTATATTTCAGTGGATTTCATAATAATTACTGTTGAGCAAGGCTTCATAAGCTTTCCTAGAAGACAATCAAATACAATTCCCTCCATTTTACAAATAAGTTAACTGAGAGGTTGCACAAGATCATTGTAGGCAAAACTGGGCATAGAACACAGGTCTCTAATATGCAAACCCAAGTCTCATTCAAAACCACACCACCTTGCCTAATTAATATGCCAGATTTATGTGCCTGAGTGGCCTTCTCTAACCAAACACTGCTCTAACCACTAGCCACACTTCTTTCCCAGAGCCAGCAATAGAACCCAGCATTCCTGATTCCCAGCATTCTGCTGCTGTCTAGAAAATGGCTGTACAACCTGTTAGCAAAGTGTGTGCACCTCGGTCCCCCTTCAGTTGCTGCTCCTCACAGAAGATAACAGTTGCTCCTTTAGCTCAGATGTAGAGGTCTGAAGGTCCAGGGATCAGCCCTCATTGACTGCCCACTTAGTGAGTTCTCGTGGTTGCACATAGCTGAAAGTTGAAGCTAGAGGCTGGAAGCTGAACCTAGACAAATTCAGACTGGAAGTGAGGTGTAAAATGTTACCCGTGAGGATAATCAACCATTGGAATAATTGACCAAGGGTCATGGGGGATTCTCCATCACTGTCAATTTTTCAATCCAGATTGGATGTTTTTATAAAAGATCTGCTCTAGGAATTATTTTGGGGAAGTTCTCTGACCTGTGTTATATAGACAGTTGGACTAAGATGACCGCCATGCTCCATTCTGGAATCTACGAAACTGTGAATTTTCTTTTCAAAAACTATTAGTTTATTTAATTCACAGAGGGAGGAAACGTCTTTAAAAGTGAGTTTCACCATTATAACCTGTCCGTTATGGTGCGATGTGCAACAAAACCCAGGTGTTCCACCTTGCGACCATTTGTCACACGTTGGCTTGTATCACACAGCGGTAGGCTTGAAGGCGGAGAGTTATCACTGACTCTGATTTGCTGTGAGGCCGCTATAGGGAACTCATGTAACTTCTCTGTACCTTAGTTTTCGCCGTCTGAAAATGGGGATAATAATACCTCTCTGCGTTGCAGGAGGTGTGTGAGCCTTAATCAGTTTGAGAGTCTCAGTGAAAAGGACAAAACAATCTTATTATTAACACAGATATTCCCTTGCTTACTGAAGGTTTCAAACACACGTCTCTCATTTGCCCAGGTAGAAATAATGGAACAAATCCTGAAGTCCTAAGTCAGTTTTCACGGCATCTACACTGTGGAAAAAATCCTACCCCACTGAGCGTGCACGATGTCCCTAAGAGGGTGAGAAGGAAATGAGAACATGTCCCTGCTGATCTGCTGCAATGGCTGGGTTAGCTGGGCCTGGGCAGTGTGGGAATCAGCTGTGCCCTGACACACATCCTGATGATCTTCCTGTGTTGGTGCATCCCAATACCATGCCTTACTGTGGGCTGTGCCTTAAAGGCATATGTGGCTCTAGCCCTCTGTAAAGTCTTCAGAAGTTAATTCAGGGGTGTTATACTTAGAATTTTGACCATGTTTCTTTCAGCTGTGGCATTGGCCCAGGATATGCAGTGGAGACAAGCTAAATGGATGCTAGAAGGTGGAGGTTTTGTTCTGAAACCATGCTGCATGGGTTAACCCAGGCAAGCAGACATCTGCCTTCTGTAGACCAGCAGCTGGTCACTGTACATCCAGTATCGCCTTGCTGTGAGCAGCCACCAGGCCACACTTTACCTTACTGACTCATCAGACACTTGTGCAATTCTTCTAGACCTTGTCTACACAGGCAAAAATAGGACCCATAGATCACCAGCACTGGTGCTCCAGGGGTGAGAGATGGGGTGTAGACAGGACACAGTAAATTCCTGAGCTGCCCTGTCTTCATCTCAGTTTCTACCATGCTGCCATTGGTGGAACTGCATCAGAAGGCACCCAGAGTGAATTCCAGGTCCTGCTTTTGCCAGCATAGACACAGCCTGCTCAGCTGGAGAGACAGCGCTCAGTCCATATCTAAGCATGGGCTTCTCACGTTGGCCTTGTCTGCAATGACAACATTGCCCTCCATTAGTGGGAGCAATGGGAGGAGCATCAGCAAAGGCAGACCACGTGAATTTTTGCCATCATGTCATCTAGTAAGCCTAGATGATATGATGGATTAAAATTTCAGTGGCTTTCAGTGCCCGTGTCTATAGTATAGTATATATAGTATAGTGTTTCCACCATTGCTTCCACTAGAGGAGCTGTGCAGCGCAGACAGCCCTTGAGTGCTTAGATTTGTAATTGGGACCAACCTGCAAAGTCTGATCCAAACTTTCCCAAATACCACCTGACTTCAGAACAGCCATTTTGGTTTGGGCCCATCTCTGCTTACGTGCTTCAGAAAATCTCAAACGTTGCAGAAAGATCCTAACATTGTGGAACATTGTCTTGTTCTCATGATTTTCCACTGCCCCTGGCTACAGTGTGCTGAAAGTGTCTCCGAGACAAGAATTCGAAGCATGGCCTTGTCCTCCTTATTGTCTGTCTCCCCTACAGGGCTTTGGGTGTGAAGAGTCCAAGGAGATATTAGAATTCTAAGTAAACTCTATGAATCCATTTCTCCTTTGTGCATTTTTAGAAAACAACGAAAACAAATGCATAACCATTTACGGCAAAATATGTGTCCCGCCCATCCGAACCGGAGCCTTGCCAACGGCCCCAGTCACCCCCAGCTGGATCCGGAGGAAATTCAGATGGTTGATGTAAGTAGCTTTTGTATAAGGCAGTGCAGAAGTGTATTGAATGCCTTTTTTCAGCCAGTGATTTCGTTTAGGTGTAACATTAAGAATTTGACGTTCAAAGCTGAAATTGAATGGAAATTTGTTTTTTTTTTCAGTTGAAAACCATTTGGGTTGGAGTCAGGACAGAAATGTATGAATGAATGAACTAATCATATTTAGTTCTCTTCCACTCTGTGAAATGCTCCTGGTATTTCCTGTTCATTGATGATATCCCAGAATGCATCATTCTGGACCACTACAATTACCATGGACTACATGGCTGGTGGGGGTGAGGCTGTTAGGTGTGCATGACACTTTATGTCGGGCCTTATTCTGCCACTGTTGCTTCTAATCAGTAGCACTTTGCACAAGGTAGTGAGTCCCATTGGGGTTCTCAGATGCCACACTGATGGGCATAATTTAAGACCATAGGCTCTGATCTATCAAAGCACTGAAGTACATGCTCAGTTTAACGTATGTGGGTAGTTCCATTAAATTCAATGGGACTGTGAATGTGATTATATTGATTTGGGGCATTTAAAAAAAAGGAAAGCGGGAGGAAATCAGATCCATGATGAGTAAAGACACGGGACGGGATTCTTTCCTGTGCCAGCGCTCCAGCATTTCCTAACTTTTGAGTACTCAGCTTTGCAACCTTTGCATTGTATTAACATTTTTTGTATGTGATCATTTATATGTTGTCCCGTGTATGATACATAATGGGCCGATTCTTGCTGGCTCCTGGAGACAGGTATAATGGGTCCCTTGTCAGCTGCACATGTGCCAAGCACAGACAGAGAAGTCGGGAGCTAGGTAGATAGACAGGCATGAATACAGACAGAAAGAGAATCTGAAAAAAGCAGCAGTTGTGCCTTTCCAGGCTGTGGCCCCACACAAAACCTTGCAAAATCTATGCTGTGAGTAGGAATAATCCATGCAAGAGCTGTGGTTGACCACTGCCAGATCAGGGACCACATTGGTATAAATATTCATAGAATCATAGGTTTCAGAGTAGCAGCCGTGTTAGTCTGTATCCGCAAAAAGAAGAACAGGAGTACTTGTGGCACCTTAGAGACTAACAAATTTATTAGAGCATAAGCTTTCGTGGACTACAGCCCATTTCTTCGGATGCAT